GTGTGTGTGTGCATGTGCCTGTGTGTGTGTGTGTGTGTGTGTGTGTGTGTGTGTGTGTGTGGGCATGTGTTTATTAGAATTAGGTACCAGTCTTACACAAGCCAGACTACTTAATAAAGAATTAACTACGATCAGAAAAATAACTATTCACCACGAGTTATATGCTGTAAAAGTAGCCAGATGTCAGAGGTCACACATATATATATATTATCTGAACAGTCTGCAGGAGAGGTGGTACAGAATACATGATGCACTGTGTGTAATGTTTATACTTGAGCGACAAAGAACACTACACGTACATATGCTGGAGGGAAACCAACGGCAGGGCTCACTGGTATAGGGAGGGTGTGATGTGATTCAAACATCACACTCTGAAATTCCCAGACCGTAAACAACACAACACTCCGCTACAAATAAACAATGATAGTGGCCCAGTTATGCCCGAGAGGGAATGCATGTTTGTATTTCTCTGTGTTGTGTGCTTTGAAAGTCTAATGCATGTTTAATGTTGAGTGTCACGAGGACTGTCTCACGTAGATTTGGTCGTTGCCAAAGCGCTTTTGCATCTCGTAGAGCAGGCTGCTGTCGGTCAGCTCACTGAGGGATGCCAGGTCATCATTGGGAGCTGGAGGCATCAACTTGACCTGAGAAAAATGTGAGGTGAGAGTTAAAATTAACATGTTGGCACTAAAATCTGTAGCTTGGGGCAGAACATGACAAGTTTAAAGTCTGGGGCAGTTATTCAGATATTGCAGGATTTTATTCAGATGGGGAAACTAATTGGAGGATCTGCAATGCTCTTGGGTCTCAAATGTACTTTAGGGAATAAATCTACAGCACATGTTGCTTAAAAAGTACATACTTAATTACTTCTCAATCATCAATGCTAAATCAAAACTTCCAGACTCCAATTTGAGCAGTTTTTATATTTTCATTTATTTTGTCACATTCCCTGCCTCTCTGCCAGGTGCAAAAACCTCTAGGAATCACTTTGGGCTAATGAAACCCTTTCCAAAGTAATTACGCAGTGTGTGAGATTCAAGATAAAAACAAGAACAACTGAGCCTACTGATATCTGATGACATGACACACAGGTTGGGCTAATCAGTATAGTATTTTTATCTGAAATTCACAATGTGACGTTTAATCTGAAATAGACAAAAACAACAAAATCTCAGATTTTCAGTTGGTCCAAAGATGAGTCTCTTTGGTAAACCCCTTCTTCATTTATTTTAAAAAACAAGGCAAAACAATAAACAGATTTGGGATTATCTATGCTCTCATTGTCTAACTGTGTGTTTTGTAATGTGGCAGATGTAAGAACCTACCTGCTCCAGTTTGCTGGCTCCAGAGCTAAAGGGTCCATCTAGGCCATTGTCCTGGGATGGCTGTCGGCTCAGTGCTCCACCTGCCTCTCTGAACATGGCACACTTCTCCAGCAGACTGTCCCGCTTGGAGATAGGGAGACCCAGGGGGTTCCTGAGGTAAAGGTGGATAGGCAAGGAGTTAGAAAGGAAACAGTAGATGGAGGGTCAGGAAAGGGCTCAGTGAATGAGAGAAACATATTTAAAAAAAAGCATGGTTTACAATTTGTGGAGTGACCACAAGAAAGAAATTGTGTTTATGAAACAGTTAACCCACAGGTTCTTGACAGGAGTGTTGAGGTCGTGTGAACCGCCATCGTAGCGTTGGTCAGTGGAGGGTAGAGGAGCGGAGGGGTCGGCCAGTCTCTGCAGCCAGCTCTCCTCTGCATTCTGCAGCATATCAACTATAGGCTCTGACGCAGCAATGTCTGGTGACATTAGACACAAAACAGGCGATTTGAAGTTTATTTTAATATAGACAAACACTGCTAGCTCCAAAATGGATTTTCTCACCATTCTGTGCCATTGGTGAAAAGACATGGAAAGTGTGGTAATATTGTTAACTAAAGACCATAATACTCTACCAGCTAAAACAACTAGGTACACCTTTCTGTTCTCTTGTCTTTTCCCATGCCAACACTCTTTCACAATCCACATGGATGAGCCTGCACTGGTGCAGAATGTGAACCCCACTGTGGATCAATGAAACTGTGCTTAAGAGGAAGGGGGAGTTAAGATCCCCCTGTCTGTAATGAGGTCTAACACGGCACAAGGGAAGGGGATGGCTTCATCCAGTCTTTTTATTTCTGTGTGACTGACAACCCCCTAGACTCCCATCTCTTGCTTTGGCATTCTTTCGTCATGTGGCTGCTGAGGGAGGGGTGTGGGTCTCCAAGTGAAAAAGAGGGGGATTGTCTCAGTCTCTAAGGGCTTGCCTCACATCTTTTCTAAGCCTACATGCTAGAAAGGGCTATTGATTACGGCCAGAGTGAGGCAGTCAGAGGTGCAATGAAACCTTGGGAGTAAATGGTTAGAGGCAGATATGATATTCTATCCCACAAAGGAGAGGTAAGAGCCCAAAGCCCCTCTAAATGACACATTTCATCAATATCACACAAGAGACAGCGCTTACATTAACAATGACATTCACAACCACAGCCTGGTAAAATGGGCGGTTTTATATTAGTTCTGTTCAGGTTTGAGATGCTCTCTGTGTGTGTGAGTGTGTGTGTGTGTGTGTGTGTGGGGGGGGGGTCCTCTTGTTAAAGGTCATAGGAGACATTTCCACATTTATAGCAATAGTACAGATGTAAATATAGAAATTAACACTATTACAACCTAGAGAGAGATGTAGCCTTTCATAGAGAAGTATTGATTACTTCTTTTTTTAAATTATAGATATAGATATATATCAAAGACTTTTTTTTTTTCAACCTGTACCTTATTTTCCCTTAATTTGTGTTAAAGTGACATTTTGAATTTGCACATAGAAATGTATACTAATTACATGTGTTCTACAAAGATTCAAAAATATTTTTAGGATTCTTTTAATGTACAAAATATCTACTGTATCTGTATAATTTGTTTAAAAATCAAAGCCTTTTGATACCTTTTATTATCAGAGAAGTAGATATTTGCTACATGGATTCCACTGAATGCCTGCTATTGACAAAAATTCAATAATAAAAACTATATATTACAAGTTTTAGATAAAATATATAAACATTTAGTAATACATGTATATATTCAATATGCGTCCTAAAACATTTGCAGAGTTTATTTTTAAAAGATTTTGAAACCTGCGATGTTGACATTTGTTTACATCGGCTGCTAGTCTTCTCCTTCCCTGCCTTCTGATGGCACTCTGCCATGTTTCCTGGATCACATTGCGGAATTTGACATACATGCCTGTCTAGCAACTGATGAGATGTTTCCAGTTATCTGTCTCTCTGTTTGAGTTGTTGCTCCAAAGCTGAGAGCACTGGAGCAGCAAACATAAAGGAGTCTGCATCACCCCACCCTCCATTTCCATCATCCTTCTCTATATCCCTTAGAGTAAGTTTTGTAGTAAGAGCGAAACATTGCTTCACGGTATCAAAAATATTACAAGGTAACTTAGATGCAAAGTCAGTTTAGGAGGGAGGGATTCTATTTATAATCACAATATCAGAATGGGCATCATTTTTCAGATAGAAGATGATGAATCTGCTATTTGTAACTCATTATTTGAATTCCTCCCTGAACTATCAGAAAGCCACATACACACCACTACCCGTACAATGAATTGGTGCAAATTGTCCTAATTTAGACCTCCTCTGGGTGATCTTGTATGCTTTCATGATTTAAAAAAACAATACATGTCCCTAGATAATGATATGACAACTTTCTGCCCATTAGCAAATTAATCACACAAGCCCCTCATGATTACTGCTAACACCCAAATTTAATCAGTGCATGTGTGTATGAGTGTGCAGGCATGAGTCAGGTTATCTTTAATTAATAAATGAGCTCTCTCTTGCAGATACAGTCAGGTGTGCACAGATTATGACAGAGCCTCACTCGCTGTATGCACTATGAGTGTATGTAAGCCTGTATTTCATATGATCACAGTGAGTATTAATGCATTTGAACAGTCTCGGCTGAATAAGTCAAAATCCATTCCTCTACTTTGCTTCATTACCTCTTGCTTGCTAAAACATGTTCACCAATTCTAGCAGCAATATTTGTATGTGTGTGTGCGTGAACGTGTATATTTGCGTGAATGTCTAAATGTGTTACCTGAGGGCTTGTCTTGGTTGCAGTTCAACAGAGTCGGGTTTGCACCGAGCCTCAGGAGCTGGCTAACGATGCTTGTCTGTAGGAGACGGGAGAAACACCCAGATCCATTTTCATTAGATTCTAAAACGATTCATACGGCATCTTCTTTCGAACCATAAGCACAACAACAACAAAAACATTTCATAGCACATTTCTAATGTTCTCTGAGGGTCTGAGGGGAGACTGTTAAAGGTCATAAGAGAGATGGTGGTTATCCCCCCATTTATTGCAACAGTACAGATGTAGATATTTAAATGTAGGATATACTGTGAAACCTAGAATTTAAACACTGAGCAGATGATACATTCAGTGTATGTCACTCATGACAGGTTTATACAAGTGTTGCCCCTGACTGAGGAGATCCTTTAATAATGAGCGTATCTTCCATCACATGTCACAGTGGAATAACCCTATAGTCGTTGTCTACTGTCATTTCTACACACAGTGACATGTGATGGCTGTCGCCACTGTCCTCTATTCTGTCTGGGTTTTACTTTTAGTCTAAGTTCACACAGGGATAAAGTGTCTGCAGTGTGACTCCATTTATTGATAAAATATCTTCATAATTTAACAGCATGACCCAGAAACTGTCTCAGCAGCTAAATAAATATAAAAGCATGGCTGGTAATTAAAAACAACCGTCTTATCAACCGGAGCAAATTCTAGGAAAACATTTTAGGGAAAATAATCTCAAAAGATGCCTGCATACTGTTCAGTTTTCAGACTACTACATATAGGTGCAATGCAACATGCACTGTTTAAACAATATGGTTCATACTGTCACTACCAAGGAAAATATTTACTTCTGATTGTCTGGCATTGTATCAGGACACCTCACACTAACATATTTACATTTTTTTTTGCCATTAATTGAGGCATAAAGAATATTAAAGAGCAAGTAACTATATCATAACAGCTGGTAAAACTAAACACAAACTACAATAAGCCTACTTATTACAGATTCTTAATTGTTTACTGCGTCAAAAAAGGCTTCCCAGAAACTTCAGTAAAATCAGCCCTACACTAAAAAAATAAAAGGGCAACTCTACCAATTTCACACATCAAGAATATTTATCATATTGTGAGTTTGAAAGATCTAGTAATTTACCAGGCAGGGCTGATTAAACAAACAACATTATGGAAATTGTAGGCTAGTGCTTTGATCGTCACCCATACTAGGTGCATAATAGTCAGTATATCTCAGCCTCTGCTGCAACGATTCTGACCATTCTTCTTTATATGAATCCTGTTAGGAGCCTAACTTTATGGAAGTCATCTACTGGTATAAGTAGCTAGGAACTTATTTGTACTATTGCGGAATAATAAGAGTTCTTCCGCATTACAGAGAGAATGACTCAGCACATTCAGCAGACTGGCTCTGACCCACGTTAACAGCTGTTCAACTATGACTGTACAGCATCTCTACTGCCCACAAACTCTGTCAGCTGCACTCACACCCTATAAATACTGACAACACGTCAGTGGCACCACAGGATCTGAACTCTTCAACAAGTCAAAGTTTACAGGAGGACCAGGAAAAGGTCACCAGTACATGGGAGATCAGCATGGAAAAAAACTGACCTTCTAGCTGAAGTAGATTCAGACAGACAGAACAGTTTTTGGTAAGAGCCCAAATGTCCTTTTAATACAATCTGTTAGGGCTGGAAATTCATCTTAAGATTAACATTAAAGCACTTAAGAAAATTAAACTTTCATGTAAAGCAGGTAGTTGCTATATTGCCACAACGTCCACATGTACCTTCATTATAAAACTGAATGAATTAATCCAATCCCAGTAGGGTAGTATTTTAACATTCTGTCATCTCTGGTTGAAAATCCAACACAAGACTATTTAAAATTCTTTCCTCAAGAGAGCACAACTTAAAAAGCCTTGACTCAAACCAAGGCAGCCAACAGCCAGAGTACAACTTATCGCAAGACAGAGAGGGGGAAGCTTAATTAGGTGCAGTAATAGGGTCATACATCTTCTTAAAGGGTCAGTCTGGTACGTATGGCACACTGCTGAAGGGTTCTTTGGGTTTAACACACCAGCTAGTGTTACAGTTGCCAGCACTGGGTTTCCAGGCAACAGTTTGCTTGTGCCTTATATCAGCAAAACCTTTTATTAGTAGGACCAGTGATTTTCTTGCACATCTTGAACCCATAATGCCCCGCATTACTGACGTGTCACTGTCAGACCAGCTATAAAGGAATGGTGACAGGAAGTGAGTGTTAAGAATGCTCAGGAAGTAGTTAGTATACAGGAGGCAAAGCACTGGCACCAGTAAAGAGCTGATGGCTGAGGTGATTTAGCACTGCAAGGGAAGCCTAATCGATTCTCCAATCCTCTAGACTGCCACTCTTAAGTCAGATGCACTTACTGTAGATGTTACACACACACACACACACATATATAAAGTAATTGTGTATTTGGAAAGTTTGAAAAACAAAGACACAAGAACGTCCATTTAGTATACTGCTGTCTGGAAGATTTGTTTAGATGCACAGATTAACTACCATCTTTCAACAAACAGCTGGATGAAAGAATCCACGTAGAGGAGAGAAAAAAAATATCTTTATGAATGAAATAGAGAAAGGCTGCAATGTAACGCAGAGGAAGAAGAAGAAAGAATTTGTAAAACACACTAGTGCATACAAAAAAAACATGCCTGGAAGGTAAGATGAACTGAAGAAGTAGAGAGAAACTCTAAATACCACATGAATAAATTCTCTTTGTCAGCAGTGAAGCACACAGCCCAGAAATGTAATTAAATATCTAGTTGGGTCAGCAAGATCTGAACGTGATCACTTCCCTTCCTTCATAGTTGGAGCCCCTCCAAACCACCAGTTCCCATCGCTCCAACAGCGCACCTCCGCCCCATCTGGAAATCAATCTCCTTTCCTCTAAGAGAGACCATTAGACAGCTAAACTGAAATGCTGTAAAAAATGAATATGCACTGCTTCACAGTGCCAGCAGTTTGACTGGTTCTGATCAATAGGCCCAAAAAGAGCAGTTTATCAGAGTGTGTGCAGGGTAACTGGAGGCAGCTTCCTCAGAGGAACAATCCATCTATCAATAATTTACTAATTATTTCATTCATTACATTAATGACAGCAATCACACTGGATCAATGCAGTTATATGAGTTAAAATGAAGGGACTTTCATTAAGAAGATTAACATTCTGACATTTTGTTGAGAAGCTGTGAGTTACCTGTCCATATTTAGCAGCCAGGTGGAGAGGGGTCCAAAAGTTGTTGTCAGCAGGATGAGGGTCCGCCCCACTCTCCAACAACACAGACACCACTTCTCTATAACCACTGGCACATGCTATGTGGAGCTTCAGAGAGGGAGAGAGAACCAAACATTAAGTTATCATAGCAAAAAGGAGAAGCTATAGTATATTTCAACAGCTGAGTTTAAGAAAGAGTATAAATCAGGGATGGACATGGACAACTCTTTGTCTCTCTCTGTCCATCCATCAACTCACAAACACTAACACACATGTGACCTCACTTACCAGAGTGACCCCATCATCATTGGGCTGGTTGAGGCTTCCCCCTGTAGCTACAAGCTGTCTAACATCAGACAGCATCGTGCTAGGTCTCTGCGTCTTCATGGTGTGCATGGATGGCACATCCACACCTAAAAAACACAAACACATTGAGATACACGTTACATTAAGTCTTTGGTTGTACACGCGGAGTCAGGAGTTGTTTAGCTTAGTTTAGCATAAACACT